GTGGAGTTCTGCATTGACTTTTTTTCAATTCCTTACTAATTTTTCTGATTTTATACTGTTTTCATTAATGCACAAGAGTCAGGTCTGCATTTCATGAGTGCCTTTTCCATTAGAAATGAAGTAGCAGTTTCCATCGACCTTGAAGTCCTTTGAATTTGTATTTTTATTTAAAAAATGAAACCACAGGCTAAGTTTCATTTCTCATTTACTACTTCTCTACCTGAGTTGTCAGTTTTGGTTTTGCTCTAAACTGAGGGTAAAGGAGAGGGCATCTCATTAAATCACTGTATCTGGGGGCAAGGTTCTTGTAAAGTTATCTACTTTGCATATTTTTTTTAAGTTTGTCGTTTCAAAATAAATATAAACCAAATGCTGTTTAAGATGTGTACTTGTGTTTAAATAATCTATTGAGTCTAAAAACTTTAAGAACAGTGATAGTATTTTCAGTTGGGGATGTCAATGTGAACACTTCTTTAAGGAAATGCAACATTTAGGAAATAACCCTACTGAAATGGCAGTTACATGAAATGACTTCTATATGGACAAAGTATGGGCTTTCCCCTAAGCATTGGAAAAGACTAAAGAAAGTTACTTGACTTTAATTTTCTTTTTATATATTAGGCTCTTCTTGAGAGTCAGTACTTCATTCTTTAATTAAACAGACAAGTAAGTATGTGAATTGTAAACTCCAGGAAGAAACAACTTCTACGTCTTTAAATATTAAAATCCAATAAAATGTTGGATGAATAATAGATTACAGGTAGTTAAAACTGATTGTGTTGCAGGGTATTTCTTTAAACTTTGAGTAGGAAATTTTAATCGATTTATTCTTTTTGTAAATATTGACATGTTTATACATGTTATTATGTTTTGTGTTTTCTATTTGCTATTTTTTCTTTGTTTTGTATTCTCCTTGAATTATATATTCTGTCAGCTGGATATAAAATAGCCATATTTAGCTGAACTACTTACTTTAGTCTGAATATTAGTAACAAAATCCAATGTAAGCTTATTGGTTATGCTTGTACATGGTATGCGTGTGTATTTGTGTGTATATGTATATAAGAGAAAGGAAGCCATTTTGAATGAGGTGACTGAAATTTAAATTTACCAGTTACAATAAGGAGATTTAACAAACTTACAGCTGTCATAATGTATTGTGYACAAGAGATACTTTGCATTCAGTTTCACGTGTGAGACTTTTAACGGTTTTCAAGGAACTATACAGGTCTACAGCATAAAAAGCATAAACTYAAACCACTGACCCAATCCTTGCAATGAGGAATGAGTCACTTGGCTAGTGAGTCAGATCGAATGCTTAGGATTGACACCTTAATTCAACTTTTATTTCCTATACATCAGGCAGTAGCTCTGGAATTTTACATTCTGCTAAATCTGTATGGAGTAGATCATATGTTATCATGAAATTSGCAAATTTAGGGATTTATGAAGGTTTTGCAATTGACAATTATTAAATACAAAGGGTCTTTATAAGTGAAAGAGCAGAGTTGCTTGCTGARGTCTTTGTCACCTTCTATATACTGTCTGATGTATAATTAAGAGCAAACAGCAGAGCGCATTTATTGATACAGATCACAAATATGCCAGCAAGAAGAACTTTTTCAACTTTACTGTGAGTTGATAGTAAGATGGAAATGAAATCTTAATAATCAGAATTGATAGGAACTCAGATAAAAATGTTAAATTTCTTATCAATGTTGATAAACATAAAGTGTTCACTGATGAAGCCACATTCTTGTTAACCTGGGTGCAATTGGAAATTAGTTGATTATTGAGTCTTTTTAATTAGCAAATAAGAAAATCACTAAATAATGTCAGATTGGTGACATCCTTTACTAGGTATGCAAAGAATCATAAACATGATATGAACTTGTAACACAAATGCTTTAAGTGGGCCATTTGTGTAACTTAGCCACAATTCCATCACATAATGCCAAATCTACAAGTTTCATGTATTTAAAGTACCTTTGGATCTTAGAGATTTGGTATTTAGATACAAGAACTAAGAATTTTTTAGTTTAATAATGTCTTCAGAACTAACAATACTTTATCTCTCAGTGTTAGGTTAATAAATGTACATTTTATATGAGTTTATATTTTACTCAGTCCTAAGAATCTTTATTAGTAGTTTTATACATTGGATGAACAAAGTAGAAGTTGTTTTTTGCTTTTTGATGTTGTAGTTTTATCTTAGGATGCAATTCTCATTAATCAAGTTCATTTAGGAAATGTAGCTCTGTTAAGAAAATGACAAAGACAACAAGAGGGATGAGGGCAACTCATCTTAAGGTATGTTTACATCTGTGATATAAAAACTGGTCACTGATAATGTTGCTTATCCCTGCACACTTAAATATAAATCTAGTCATTACTGCTTACTCCTGGAATTGATAAAAACAAAGACTGTTAACTTAAAGAAAAAAACCACAGTTTTTATTTGCAGGGGGAAATCCAATGCACATCAGACTTTGTGGAAGGCAAAAGGGAATTTGCAATAGCCAGCAACTTTGCTAATATTTCACAAATATATTGCTATTTTTTTCCTGATGGCACCTCACTTTCTAATGAGACAGAAGCCATCATGTTGCTAACAGCCTACACTGATGGCCTGGATTTAGAAGTAAATTTGCAATTATTTTAGTATTGCTTGGCTTTTTTGAATGAGCTCTGCAGGAAAACGGAGGCTTATTCTTCTCTGGGGCACACACACCCAACGAGTCATTTTTCACTTCTGAGATTGCTAAGGAGAATAGAGAGTGATTTGAGGAGTTAAGATGAATCATAGAAAAAGATTTCTTCTACTCACTTTACCATCATGCTGTGCATTTCTGCATCTATTTAAAAATTAACTTATGACCCCTTATAATAGATTACTCTCAGTCACGCACATAGCTTCCCTCTAAAACCATTATTATAACTTCTGTTCAACACACAAGTGGTTTTGACTTGTTAGTATGGACAGATCACAGGACTCTCAAGGAATATCAGGTTAGTTTTAATCTTTAACTATGGTCAAAATGGGATAAATGTGTGCTTGTGACTGTGTGTGCCTTGATTACATTTATTTGAAAATTATCAAACAAAACTTTGCCCAGGGCTTAGAAGAGTGTTCTGGGAAAAATAAATTCAGGGAAAATTATTTAGGAAATGCTTCAGAGATGACTATTCTTCTATATTTGTCATTAAGTCCTGGAGTAGCTTTGGAAAGCATTAGTAAATAACAATAGGTAATGTTAATCTGTAGTGCTTTTCTTTTTTTAAAAAAAATATTTACTTTTTTAGTTTTTTTAGGTGGACACAATATCTTTATTTTATTTTAATGTGGTGCTGAGGATTGAACTCAGGGCCTCACACATGCCAGGTGAGTGCGCTACCTCTTGAGCCACATCCCCAGCCCCAATAATAAACTTTTAATGCTTCAAGAATATAACTGCATGTCATAGCAATATGAATACTGTATCCATATGATACACAATAACATACCAACTCAGCCAAGATTTTAAATTTTTTCTATCAGAGTTATACTATCTATAAAATTTTACCTATTTTTCCTTCCACAAYTGATACATTATAAATATAAAATATACTAACCATTTTTAAAGCACATAATTACCATATTTATTTAATATATTTTTTATTTGGTTGCACTTTGATTATTACTGGCAAAAACAAAAGGCATCAAAGTAAGACATGTTCTCAATATTTGTTAAATGAGAGTGATTAAACATCATTTGATATTCTAGACTGGTAATTTTTAAGTAACACTCAATAATTGATTAACAGAAATTCAGTTGCTTTATATGATAAATATTTACTCAATATTTAAAAAGATTTTATTTATATTTATTAATCTTATAATATCTTTGAGAATTCTATAGACATAAATATTCCCTGCTAGGTATGAAAGATTAAAATGTCTTTCTCAATGTCCCAACATTAAGAATGAAGTTAAAACTATTAAACTAGATTTTCTAATTTTCCAACAAATATCTGATTGAATCATCTGTTTTTTAAAGTAATATTTCTAAAAGGCAATAACTTTCATGGTTAATGATAGTGCTTTTATTGATTGTTTTAAAGAAATGTATGTCTACTACCTTCTATATTTTATTTGTGTTTAACCTTTGGAGATCTATTCACTTATTTTAAATTCAATTTTGAAGTTTTCCAAGAAGCTTTGCTTGTTTGATTTACTCTATCTTTTTTCCAATAATCATAACTTATTAAAAGGCTGTTAGAATATTGGTATTAATGCTAATTGAGTATTAAACATAAATACTTATAAAATAATATTTGTATAGGGCATTTAYATCTCTTTTTAAAGAGAGGTTTAAGAGAAATTTAAAAAATTAACCAATAACTGTTTCAACTTCTAAGCAGGTTATGATATAAGACAATGTCCAACATTTGAGATTTCACTTATTGTAAGAGATACATGGGATAGAGAATTAAATTGCCTGGTCTCTGAAAATATTCTTAAGTTTTTCCTTATTTCTAATCTAATACTTAGAAATAAAATGGTAATTCATTTGGGTCATCAGTGGGGTAAAAACAATCCACTCTTTCCTTTACTCCAAAGATGTTTACAATAGTATACTTGCTGCTGAAAAGTCTTTTCTGGTTGCTGCTAATTACATGTTGTCCATCTTAAAGTCTTTAAAAGGAATATGGGTATCTAATGACTTGTTAAATATTTTATTAGGTAAAGAACCCAAGAGGGTGTCTAGATTTGGAAAAATGCATATAAAAACACTGATTACATTTGTAGACATTTTTCAATTTGAATCATCCTGTCTTCCAGTGTTAATAGATTTCATCTTCAGATTATATCAATCAAATGATGCTATAGTGCCGCAGTCTGYTTGGCTCTCAGCACTATAGGGAATGTACAGCATTAATATTTTAATTGAAAACAAAATAATAATCTGTATGGGGGTGGGTCTAAGTATTTGTCCATCTCTAATTATATTAGTAGTAAAATTTGTCATTTGATGACTAGACAAGAGGTAATTAAAACAAAATTAAAGCAAAGTCAAATCCTAACTTAAAAGGCAATGAAAATAAAGAGCATGGCATAACCCCATTAAAAAGTTACTAGAGCATTATAACAACATGCATTTCTAACAATATAATATGCTTACTTTTACTATGTTCTAGATGACCAAGTGATAAAATCCTAAATCATAAACACATTTCAAAATGATTTTTCCTCATGAGCTTTTTCTTGACAGTCCAAAGCTATTGTAAATGGGCATAGGCTAAAAGTCTATACTGGAAGATGATGAAGAATTACTATAACAGATTTTAAAGACTGAGGCCAGAATATCTTAGTAACTTGGGAACAATCAATTATAGAGAACAAGTCTACTCTATATTTTGTTACCTACACTGCCACCACATTTCTTACCAGATGAGTGTGGCCAGAATCTTTTAAAGGTAATATGAAGGGAGGTCTGGTTGAAATATCATAGTTCTTGAGAAAAAAAAAGGCGATAAAGTACATTAATAATCATGAAGACAGCAACTGGTCCAAGCAGGAGCCTTTATCTAAGAGTTCAAAGGACAGATGAGAATTGTCTTGTTGACTTGATTGCAAGGTTCAAATAAGGTCACTCAGCTGAAAATACAGTACGTGGCTTATTATATTCACAATGTATTTTGGTGTTTATTCTAAAAATGAAATCTTCCTTGGATTTAATCAAGCAATATGAATCTTATCTTTAATGCTTTTCTTCTTTGTTGCTGATAAAAATTATTCCTGACGAGCACCAACAAGTCTTGAAATGTCACAACTCATTTTAGAGTGACACAGACCTCTTCCTCCTTCTAACAAAATCCTCTGTGTGAATTAAGTTGGAAAGAGCCTTAGTGAGGTGACTATCTGATGTCTCAGTGCTGCTCCCAAAGTCATAGTTCTTCAGGCAAGGGCACAGGCAGCGAACAACAGCCCTGCGGATGTAGCTGTCAAACACGTAGTAAATGACAGGGTTGACACAACTGTTGGCAAACGCCAAGGGCCCACTCACCTCCATGCCCCGCTGGAGAAGAGCTGAAGAAAAATGGAGTTTTGGCTGCAATCCAGAAATAATGGCCAGGAGCTTGAAAGTATTAAAGGGTAGCCAGGAGAAGACAAAGGCTGTCACCACAATAAAGATGATCTTTATGGATTTTCTCAGCTTTTTGTTATGCTTTCCTGATTGCTGGTAATGGACACACAGCTTTCTCGTGATGCAACAGTAGCAGCTCACAATGCTCAGCAAGGGGACAAAAAAAGTGAATATCAAGGCTACCAGGGCCCATGTCAATTTTGCTGAAGTAGCCCTCTTCTCAGCACAGTATGGCTTACCATCAATCAACGTGAGCTCCCTGGACAAAACAGTCGGTAACCCCAGAAGGCAGGAGACAAGCCAGACACAGGTACAGACTCCATATGCACAGTCTCTTCTTCTGAATTTCCTGGATATGGCTGGACACATGATGGCCAGGTACCGGTCAACACTCATACAAGTGAGCAAGAAGACACTGCAGTGCATGTTGACTGAGATCATGTAGGAGCTGCCTTTGCACAGGAAGGAGCCTGTCCTCCACAGTCCTAGAGATGCTTCCTTATCCACCCAGAGAGGCAATGTGACAAGGAAAATGAAGTCAGAGACACCCAGGTTGATGATAAAGATGTCAATTAATCGTCGGCTGCCACGTTTGAAATACAATGCACCAATCAGGATGAGGTTCCCCAACACTCCAGTCAGGAACACAGCTGTGTAAAAGATGGGAAGGAAGACAGATGTGTAAGGAATGTGGGAGTGGGTCTCCTTGCCATCAGAGTTTGGACTGGTAGCATAGTAATAATCCAAATAAACCGAGGTTGCTTCTGGATCCATCACTGAAGATCAGATACCAAATCTGGTAAGTTCCCTTACCTAGAAGGTTTTGGTATGAATTTTAGAAATCTCAAAGGAGCTTCTTTTATATAGTGCTGTTTTTTTTTTTTTTCTTCCCTTTAAAGATTTTGGACAAGCATGAAAACAGATTTAAAAAAAAAATGCAGTTTCTACCAATCTTCAGAAAGGGCCCACAAGGAACACCACTCTGATTGGTTTTGGTTGGTTGTGGTTGTGGTTTTCTTTATTTGCACTTGCCCATGAGACTGAGTTGCTTTTTAACTTCTTTATTCAACATATTTGTTTTTTTGTTTAAATTCAGAAATTAAGAATTGAACTTTTAAATTCTCACCTCTTTTAAAAATCTTTGCTTTTCTGACAYTGAATTCTTTTGATCTAGCCTTCTGTTTCACTTTTAAGATACTCTTTTGCTTTTAGATCTGGAAGGTGTTCATAATAAAGATACACTTTTGTGTTTGCACTGTTGGTGATATATGAAGAATATTAGTCTTTTATTTCATAAAGAGTGCATTGCAAGCTTGCCAAGTCATACCAGTCTGCACCTATGGCAAACATTATGATTGAAATTAGGGCATTAGAGCTTTCCTATTTTATTCGGCTTTCATTTCATACATAATCAACCAAGTCTGGTTCAATGATTAAAAAAAAAAGAAATCCCCAAAAGCCTGCAATCTTTTATTTTTACTATTATTTCAAATTTTTCATCATAGCTAGCATAGTAACTCCTGCACAGTTGGTGCCTTGGGAATGTTAATTTATTAGATTTGCTTCAGAAAATTCTCATTTTTGTGATCTAGTATAATTATAAATTAATTTGTTTGGCAGGCATTGTTATTTGTGAACCCCACATACACATTTAAAAATCAAAAACTGCTATTTTTACCCTCTTCTCTGATATTGTACCTCAACCAACGAAGTTCCCTTTTGTTAAAGAGTTAACGTCCTTGAATCGATTTTTCTCCTACTAACCTTCAATAATTACCCTTCATCACATTCCAGATTGCCTCTGACCTKTCCTTCATTATATAACACTTTTGTAGTGGTGAAATATTTTTTGGCTGTTCCTTAAATACCTCCACATATCAGCAAACCTCAGTTATGGAACCACTGATCAGGCAGCAGACACAGGGTATCATAAATGAGCTGCCAGCAGAGGCACTCTAAAAAGGGAAGATTTTTGGTATAATTAAAACATTTGAGAAACAGGATGAAACAGAAAGGACTCCATTCACAGAGTTTTCACATGTTTTCTTTTATATACGAAGGCCATAGTAAAATTTAACAAAATTTGAAATTGTCTCTATTAATTTCATTTCTGTGCTGGCCAAATGGCTCAAGGTTCTCTGGTACCCCCTTTTCCTTCTCTGCATTTCATTTAATGTCCAAAATTCCAGTTTCATGTGGATATAACCATTACATAGAAGAACGCATGCATGTAGATAAAAATATAATTGTTAAACACTTAAAGTCTTTTCTGTAAAATTTTGATTTTTTTTCAGTAATTGGAATATTGAAAAGAATAATCCTGCCTGTTGTACTCTTCTCTCCCTCCTGATGTGATACAATGTCATCTCAGTCACAAGCAAGAGAGGTAAGATTAGAGGAAGGATAAGGGCTCCCCTGACCTGGGACAGCCCCATGAAGTCACTCTGGAGTTGCTTTATGGACCTGGCCTGTCTTCTTTGGGCTATTCACTAATTCCAGTGTTGTTGTGGAGAGCAGGGGGTGAGGAGGGGAAGCATATCCTTCGMTAAATATAGACTGCAGATTAGAGAAACTAATTAATAGCCTTGGCATTTCTGGGACAGAAATCTTTTCCACTGGGTAAGCCTTAATTATTTAATAGAATAATTCATCTGTCAAATAGTTTGAAGTAGGACAATATTTACTTGAAAAACATTAATAAAGTAACAAAATATTTAAACACTGTACTTACATGTAAATGTGCGTGTGTTCAAGTGCCAATCATATACATTCTTTATTTGTAATTGTACTTTAATTGTAATATTAGAATTTTGCAATCAGAAGTTCTTTTGCTATTTGAAAAAAATAAGCTTGATTTGGGTCTAAGATTTTTTTTAATCCTTATGTCTCAAAAATTCCACATAAAAGTATAAAATAGAGAAGAGTTTATACTCATACTCTGGAGGAAAACATTAGATTGTGCATTCATTCTGTAGGTCTTAAAATTTCTTTTGCATTTCTAAAGTTGGGTGGCTGGTGATGTAAACTATCTCAAATAAATCTGACTTACTCAGCAGTTTATTGAAGCAGTTGTAGATAAAGYGGTGTGCTTTTTCACATGCAGTTACTTTGAAGTAAGATATTTGGTGGTAAAAGCTGCAATATGACTATATATATCATGAATAGTATAGACCAAAATTAAAAAACAAATTAACCATTTTTAGCCAAAAAAGGGACACAGAGCATGGTTCTGAGCTTTTCATAACTCTAAGTACAATATCAGTAAAAGAGAGAAGCCACAGTATATGGTGGCTATATAAAGAAGGGGAGGTCATAGTTCAAAGCCGATTGCAAAGGCCATTTTTAAGACTGTATGCCTTTTGATTCACACACAGATATCCATAGCATATGAAAAGGCAATATGAACAAGCTGTTAAAAAATAACAAATATTAGTTAACTGAATAACAGTCCATATGCCACTTCTTAAGAATTGTTTTCCCAAAAAAATCCACTTAATTTTCCTCCCCAACCCCAGACAGAGATAATTGCATCTACCTTTGAACTTTTAAAATGCTGCTTATAAAGTACTTATTATCTCTATCAGGTGGTTTGTTGTCTTGGCACCTGACCCCCTGAGCAGATCATGAGTAACTTAAAAGCAGGGCACATCTGTTCTCTCCCTGCTAAACTCTAGCAGAAGGCAACTAAAGTCTTTATGGACTCTCAGAGTCATTGTTTTGAACTGGTGGACGCCAGACCATATTACCCATTTTAGAGACCCTGGGACACCTACTAAAGTATACATTCACAAATCTTGTCCTTGATCTACATAATCAGAATTACTGGGGACAGAGTCTAGGACTTTATATTTAACATGCATCCAAGGTGAATCTTACACACACTAAAGTTTAGAATCACTGTTCTTAATCACCTAAATTAACCAATATAATGTGTTACGCTTTGGTATTAGTGTATTTTAAAGAAGGTTTAAAAATTACTTCAAAATTTGAAACTCATGAAAGTTTTTTACCCTTTATCTCACAATAATTTAGGTATTAATCTGGATTTCTGCACCCTGCCTATTGTATTTCCAATTCTTGATATACGTTCACAACTGGATCAGATGTTGTAGAAGAAGAGAAGTTTTCTTCATTGAGACATATGCCCAAGTGAATCCATTATCATCTATTACATGGCTGTAGCCTGGCTTTACAGAGGACAAAATATTGTACGAATAGAGCTACCCTGGTCAGGCTGTGATCCCTGGCATTGTGATTATATTACTTCAGTTTCTTCCTTATCAGACAACTCTGACCCCATAATAAGGTGGAGAGTATATCACCAGATTATATGCACACAGGAAAGCAGAAAGAAATCTCTGGATTTCTTTTTCATACACACCTTTTGTTCATATACATACTGTGATATGTCTCATAATAAGTGGCAAAGAGTATGAAGCAAACTAATTATTTCTCATTAACCTTAGTAGGAAGACAGTGCAATTACACATGTATTTGTTAGAAAGAGAAACTCTTGTCCTATTGAGAATCATAATGTGTGAATCATTTAAGCAGTCCAGTTTGAGAAAATTATTTATACTGTAGGAGTTGTTTTTTATTTTCACAGTTACTTGAACAATTTAGTACTATATAGTGTAATAACATATGCCAAATTAAATGGCATGTATTTGCTGTTATCAGTGCACCCTCTCTACTTAATTTATTGGATGATTTCCCATGTTAACTCATGTTTACATAGATAGCAATTATTTTTTCTAGTAACATATACTTAGGGATTCTTCATAAGAGTATATTCAATCTGGATTTATATTATGCATAATACAAATTTTTTATTTATGTTGGTATCCCTGGCAACACAGCACAGTGTCTGGCCTGCAGACCTGGGCTGAATCATGCTTGAGTTCTGAGTCAAAAACCAATGAATAGGAGCTTTTGCAAACTTGTTGAGTAGCTTCTGTTTTCTGTTCAATCCTGGGGTCTTCATCACATCATAAACAAGTGTGGAGAGATGCTTCAAAGTTAGCACAGCATATTTTTGGTTATTTTATATCAATATTTCCACTTAGTGCATCTCGTTAGTATATCTACCATGGCCTCATAATAAATTTGATGGTGATGAGAAGATGAAGATCTTGTTTTAGTTTATAAATAAAGTAGTCAATCACATTAGTTCCTTATCTGCATTAAAGATTACCTTTTGCAAAAATTTTGTTTAGGGACTCAGCATTAATATTTATAAACTAATAAATGACAAAATAAATCAAGAAAATATTTCCTTTCATAATTTCGGCCATCCCCATGATTGCTGTTCATGTTTGAAGGAGCAAGGGCTGTGATGTTCTTTATAATTAGAATGCATATAGCCTTCCTCTTTTTCCTCTGTCCATCTGCATTTCTCACTGTCTGTGCTGCTTGTATATTGCCTGAGCTGGAAGTGTTGTATATACAAATTTCCTAATGAAACACTATGGCTATGAATCTATGACAACTATATTTTGTAGTCACATTCCTCCTCTTCCAGTGCAATTAAAAATCATATGTGATTTTGGAGCTTCAAGTGATATTAGTGATCATCAGTATAACCTTTTTCCTAATGAGGTCACTGGAGCCCAGATAGACATCATTAACCAAAGACCCACGGTGATGATTTTAAAATAAAGGACAATTTGAATGTGAACTTCTCATGTACAAATGGTCATTCATTACTATTCAGAAGCAGGAACATCCAAACAACTATCGTTTGTTATACTTTGAGGCACCTAACAGGGTAGATTTTAGATAGATTTTTTGATGTGCCTTATCCTAGATTGATTTTTGCCATTGTTCTGTAGTGGATTACATATAAGGGAATTCTAAGACTGATATATAGGTTTTTGAGGATGTTTAAGCCAGAACCCAGAGCTTGCACATATTTCTGTTTTCCTATGTTCTGAACTCCAAAATTCACAAGGAAAAYATCTAGTACAAAATATAGGAAAAAAACATAATTTTGATATATCTTTTAAAAATAATTTTTARTTTCTAACAACAAGCAATTAAATATTGAATCAAATTTAAGGATGCTAGGGAATTTGGTATTGAAGGGAATTCTTGTGTGAAGAATTGTTTCATAAGCACATAATAAAAACTAGTTATAAGTATGGCAGTATGTATAAACGTGGCTTTATAACCAATGTGATCCTGCAATCTGTACACGGGGGAATAATAAGAATTCATACCCCATTTGAATCAAATGCATGATATATGATATGTCAAGATCAATGTAATGTTTTGAGCAACTAAAACATTTCTTATGTTTAAAAAAATAAATAAAAACTAGTTATAAATCCAAATACCCAGGTTTTCAGTTATTTGGTTTACTTAAATTGCAACTATATTATCTTCCTGCTAAATCTAGAAATATCTTTAACAAATTAAACCAGCAGCTTTTTTAAAAATATTTTTTAGCTAAAAATCCATGATTTCCTTTTTTTAAAGAGAGAGAGAATTTTAATAGTTATTTATTTTTTCTTAGTTTTCGGCGGACACAACATCTTTGTTTGTATGTGATGCTGAGATCGAGCCCTGGCCGCACGCATGCTGGGCAAGTGTGATACCGCTGAAGCCACATCCCCAGCCCCAAACCAGCASCTTAATTCAACTTTGTTTTTAAAACTAAATTTCATAATCTGTATATGATTGTATTAAATCATCTTTAACATTTGTAAAAAATATAGGACCAGCTACAGTTTCATGAATAGCAGTATAGGAAAGAGAAACAGGAATTTAATTCTATTAATTTATTAATATTTATTTTATCCACCTACATATATTAACATAAATAAAAAAATAGAAAAAAAAACAAAGATGCAGGGAAAAACTAGAAATACAATTGTGTGGTTGTGAGGATGTAATGTAGGTTTTCTGTGCTGAAATGGTCAGGATGGATGAAACCTCAAACATACCGACACTTCCATGCCCACACTAATTTGGTGACTGAAGTGTGTCCTGAGTGTTTTCTAGGCATTCTGCAGTCGTGAAGGGTAAAAGTATAATTCACTTCTGTATTTTCCTGCAGAAACATTTACTTCCTGAGCCATGATGTAGGCTATGAGCCCAAGCCTTGAATTTTCCTGATTATGGACAAGCAAGAATGGCACAAGGGCTGTCCTGACAAATCTTTCCCAGTTAATTGGCAATTAGTCCATGGGCTAACCAGCAGAAATGAGCAAAAACACCTACCTCTATAAATGGTTTATTTCCAGTTTTTAGGGGGAATCAGGAGTTTTGAAATTATCCTTATATAGTCTTTACTTAAATGTTGTATGTATTCAACAAATATTTGCAAATAATAATAATTCAGTAATTCTTTACTGAGCCTCAGTTCCTGTGCTAGGCATTTTATATGTAATTTCTCATTTAATCCTCACAATGATCACAAGGAATAACTGTTGTCAAAAAATCCCTATTTTGGAAAAAAGACAACCAAGACTTAGAGATAGCTAAGTAAATTGTCCCAAGTCACAAAACTAATTTACTTAGCCAAATGCTCAAGTTTACCAGTTCAGTTATTCTCTCTGGGCCTCAGTTCCCCTATCTATAAACTGAGTTTTTTTTTTTTTTTGTTGTTGTTCCTTTCTTTTCTTTTAAAATTCCCTTTACCTGGGTTTATTTTCCATGTGGACTGCAGTGGAGAGGTAGGTCCGAAAGTAGGGGATTTCTAATCAGGGACAAAATGAAGGCATTTTGTGGTGCATAAATGCAATCACAAGTCTTATTACACATCAACCATTTGTCTATGCACCTCTACCATTTTTCTAGCTGATGCCTGTAACAAAATTATTTCCTGATTAGATGCTATACATGACATTTCAGTATATATTATAATATTTGAATATTATAATATATTTGGCTATTTATTTTATTTAGCTAATGAGTATGTATTATCAGTTTACCAACTCTGGTGAAAGAAACATATCTACAATAGAAAAACAGATATACCTTCAATTTTTCAGGGTGGTAGAAATTTGACCCCAAGTTGGCTCTTCCATCTTTCCTCTGTGAAGTGGCTAAGTTCCAAGTCATTGGTGGTAAAGAGGGGCTTCAGAAGATACTCTGCTCCTTGAGTCTGATGCCCCTACAGTGTTGTGAAACTGGTCATTTGTTGGTCTCGGGCCTCACTTATGTATCCATAAAAGTTATTACCAAGATTACYCTGATGATGGAGTCCCTTGATTTTTGGACCATAACTGAGAACTGAAGAAAATTTTGATGCACACCTGTAATCCCAGTGGCTCCGGTGGCTGAGGCAGGAGGATCTCAAGTTCAAACCAAGCCTCAGTTATTTGGTTTACTTAAACTGCAACTATATTATCTTCCTGCTAAATCTAGAAATATCTTAACAAATTAAACCAGCAGCTTAGTTCAACTTTGTTTTTAAACTAAATTTCATAATCTGTATATGATTGTATTAAATCATCTTTAACATTTGTAAAAATATAGGACCAGCTAATGTTTCCTGAATAGCAGAATAGGAAAGAGAAACAGGAATTTAATTCCATTAATTTATTAATATTTATTTTATCCACCTACATATATTAGCATAAATAAAAAATAGAAAAAAACTAAAGATGCAGAAAAGAGAAACAGGATCTCAAGTTCAAACCAAGCCTCAGTTATTTGGTTTACTTAAATTGCAACTATATTATCTTCCTGGTGCTAAGCAACTCAGAGAGACCCTGTCTTTAATTAAAAAAAATACAAAAYAGGGCTGGGGATGTGGTTCAGTGGTTGAGTGCCCTTGAGTTCAATTCGCAGTAACACCACCATTCTAAAAAAAAAATAAATAAAAAAATAAAACATAGAAGAACAAATATGTATCTGRTTCATGTTGATAAACTTCTGTGCAATACTCAGTTTAAAAATACTCAGTTTAAAATCATTCTGTTGCTTCGATGCCACACAATCTCCAAGGCTGTCCATGACCTCACTACTGAAGATGATGTTCCCTAAGCTTCAGTCTTATTCATACTATTTAGATTTTTTAATCATTTTTTGACACATTATATCTTCAATACTTAATATTTTAAGAAATCAACTGAAATTTATATTTAAAAAAACTTACCACAATAAAAAATAAATATAACTTGTCATAAAAAGAAAGCAGCCAAAAACATTTTATATATATATTTTATATATATATTTTTGTAATCTAAATAACATCTTTATATTCTAGACGCATAATATCGTCCAGGACATATTCTTTTTTGTCTAAACGTAAACAATCAAGCCAGAAAGATCTGCTCCCATGTGGTTGTGGGGCAGTGGGAAAAAGGGGTTAACATTTCAGAAGTAGAATCCCTCTGCTGTTCTTTTATACAGTACTTACTTTTGGAGGAGGATGGTAAAATAGTGAAAACACAGGACTCAAAGCAGACCTTAGTAACTAACAATCATAGGTCACAATCATTGCGTAGCTGCGACCCGAGAGAGGCCGCCTTCCCTCCTAGACATTCACCCATTCWCTCAAAAGACACAGTTGAGACCTCCGCTGGGCACAACGCCTCGCCTACCGAGCGGAACTACATCCCCCACAATGGGCCGMGCGGCGCCCGGCGTGCCCTCCGCCGCCTTAGGCAGCTTTGCCTCCGTCCTTCCTACAAATCCCACAAGTCCTCTCGGCTCGGGGCTGCGGCCCGGCCCGGGGTGGAGGCGAAGGCGGAGGCGCGGGAGTTATGGTGGGGGCGGGCTTTGTAGGGAAGTGCGTCAGAGGAGGCGCGGGGAGAGTAGGGTGCTGTGGTCTCCGTTGAAGGGTGAAGCTGGCGRAGCAAGAGGATGGGCGGTGAGTGAGCGGGGCCGGCGTCGCCCGCGGGRGTCGCGTCGCCGTTCGGCGTTCCCGGCGGTTTGAAGAGGGGCTCCTTTCCGGTGCGGCGCTGGGGATGGGCGGGTTCTGTTGGGCGCACCGTGGCGGGGGATTTCCCAGGGTTGTGCGGTGTATTGGGGGGGGGGGGAGCTGGTCGGGTACCTGGGGCCCCAGGCTGGGGGCGCGCTGAGCTGCCCCGCCCCGCCCCAGTCTGCGCTTGCCTGGGCCTCCTTTGGCTATGGGGTGCGGCCCGCGGGGCGACCGCATCGAGCTGACAAAGAATCACAGCTCCTTGTACCGGGACCCTTTAAGGTCATTTGAGAGCACCAGGATGAAAGGGGATTTAAAAAAAATCAAAATACACATCCAAGTTTTGAGATATTGTTATATACCGCAATTGCGCTGATCTTACTGAGTCACCTCCCAGCTTCCAAACTCGGCAACGCCAGTTTGCGAGCCTGTTTTTGTCCACCTTTGTAAGGTGTTTGGCGCGGTCCTGGTATATACTTGACAGTATTTGACTCAGCGTGATCAGTCCGCCTTGAGTCATTTTCCGCGGCCATTTACTACTGCCATAGAGCCCTGTCCACGCCTAGGGAGTGTTCGTATTTTGCCCAGTTCAGAGTTTTCTTTCTTGCTGGGAAGGGATCAATTGGTTTTTATGGATCCACGTTGTACTTCAGGGTTTAGGGAAATACCAAGGTTGCAGTTGAGATTCAGAATAAGGACTGGGGAGACTAGATAGGAGCGGAGTATTTGGCAGTGTAAAGAAGCTTGGCTTAACTTTAATGTTGGGGAGATTGCTATTTAGCATTATTATATGTTATTGTTCTCTTTGCTATTGCATACACCTAGAACAACCTTTCCCTCTGGGTTAACATCTTCAACTCTGATTTCCAAGTGGTTCCTGATTGGGAGGCTTCGCCTTTCAGAGGAAACTGGGAGGGACCAGTTTTCAGTGCTTCCTTTCCTTCTGTCTTTTCCCACACTCAAACCCAGGACACTTAAAGCTAGTGTAAAAATCAGCCTGATATTTAAAATGTGTGCACGGTACACTGCTGACCATGGGCATGTCTATTGTTTGTATCTGTAATGTGTATGTCCATTTCAGTGTTGTCTGTTTTAGTATGCAGGTGATAGACTAGAGAACAAGACTTCTGTCTCCGTAGCATCCTGGGTATGTGAGCATTAAATAAGTATTTTTATGAGAATGAGTTTTGTTTTAAAGTTATGAATGTTTACTTTTTAAAATTTTTTCAATTCCTTATGATTATACATTACTTTTAAGAAACAAGGGATGGGGAATAGGGTAAAGGGTGATTTCAAGATAATTTCTTTCAAAATAATCTTTCTTATTTGTTCTTGAAGTCTAATTTTTCTTCTTTCTTCAACTTTTAAACAGAGCAGTCTGAGTGCCAGAATGGATAACCGTTTTGCTACAGCGTTTGTAATTGCTTGTGTGCTTAGCCTCATTTCCACCATCTACATGGCAGCCTCAATTGGCACAGACTTTTGGTATGAATATCGAAGTCCAGTTCAAGAAAATTCAAGTGATTTGAATAAAAGCCTCTGGGAAGACTTCATTAATGATGAGGCAGATGAAAAGACTTAYAATGATGCGCTTTTCCGATATAGTGGCACAGTAGGATTATGGAGACGGTGTATCACTGTACCCAAAAACACACATTGGTATGCTCCACCAGAAAGGACAGGTATTCTTCTATTTCAGTTTCTCTCTCCTTTTCCTACACAGTCACAGACAAAATCTCCCAATGATTTCCCAATTGTGTATTGGAAAGAAATAAATCTTATGTGTTGCTTCTCTTCCCACCACCTTCTTTTCCCAATTTCTATTCATTTTCATATTACTCATTAATAATTGGTTAGATGAGTAACTTTGTAGTTTTGGAAAGCCACTTTAAATTGTTTTATTTGCTAACTCATTAAAATATTTTTAATCTCACATGTTATGAGAAAATAGTTGGAAAAGTAGAGTGGAAGGCTTTAAATATTTGGTAATTGGTAAGAGGACTAGTATCCAAAATCAGTTCAATGTTTATTGATTGTCCTTTTGGCTTAGCTATATTAAAGTGAATGTCCTTCATCTGTCCTATACTTAGAGGACAAAATTTGACCAGCTCTACCTTTAAATCTGTATATATTTGAGACTATTTTAAAACAATACTGTTATACAAGTTGTAGGTTAAAAAGTTTGAATTATAGAGGCTGGGGTTGTGTCTTAGTGGTAGAGCTTATATGAGACACTGGGTTTGATTCTCAGCATATAAATAAGTGAATATAAATACATGAATAAAACAAAGGTCCATCAATATCTAAAAAATATTAAAAAGAAAGTTTGTATTAGAGAAAAAAAATCTTAAGTTGATTCTCAGTTTTATTTAGCAAGCATTCTTAACATTTAAAAGATTTTAATTTCTAGTGAAATTAGAAGACTTAGAGCTCTTCGTAAGGAACAACTCTCCCCCTCATTTATGGTACTTCTGTTTAGTGAGGAAGCAGTGTATTTAAATCGTAGCAGAACAAATTTGAGTTATATATCAGAAGAATGATAGTATGTCATGAAAAAAGGGRAATAGTATGTAAAAAATTGGTTAAAATTCACTGTACTCATGAGGACACAGAAGCACTTGATATTGGAATTCTACCASTTCTTTTGTTATTCAACAAATATTGATTGAATACCTCTGTGTTCCAGGGCCTCAGTTTGGAGGACCAAGTATTCCAAAAAAGGGATGACAAGCAATAATCAGAATCACAAAGTACAGCACTATAAACAGAATAAATAATTACATAGTATGTTGAAAGATGACATGGCTGTGGAAAAAAGGAGCAAAATAAAGGGGATTTTTGTAAATATGAGGGGAAGAGAATGTTGGAGAATATTAGTGAACGTAGATTCTGATTTTCAAAAGGATGGTGGCACAAGCTTCATTGAGAAAAGAAGATGTTGGTAAAGACTAGAAGAAAGAATTAGCCACAAAGGGTAATCAGAATTTGTTGAGGGAATCATTTAGGTTGAAAGGAACAACTACTGTAGAGGGCCTGCTGCAGGAGCATACTTGAGATGTTCAAAGACCCCAGCAAGGAGTCCACTGGCTGGATGAGTTATGGGCAGAGTTGATTATGCTGTCAGAGACAGATTGTTGGGAATGGTGTAAATTGTTTAGGACTCCAGGAATATTGAGGACTTTAGTTTTTTAGTACAATAGGGTGCCTTTTGAGGGGGCTTTGAGCAGTGGAGAGACATGATCTGGTCACCCTGACTGATATGGTAAGAACAGATAGGCAGCAGGGAGGGTGAAAGCTAGGGGATTGGTTAGGAGGTTGTTGCATTTATTCAGGTGTGCAATGATTGTGAATCAGACCAGTGAGGTGACATTAGATCCTGAATTTGATTTGAAGGAAGATCCTCTAGGATTTTCTGTTGGAGTATATATGAGCAAGAATTATTAAAAGTTTCCTGTCTGAGGAACTGGAAGGATAGATAGAATTGTCACCCCCTGAAATGTTAACCATTTTTGGGGAGAAGATCAAACTTATTTATTTCGGTCTTTGTCCTCTCTCCCTTCTTCCTCATCTTTACCTACTATTCTGCTATTCATTTCACTCCCTTTCTCTGAATCTCAGTCTCTCTCATATATATGTGTGTGTGTGTGTAGTATATATATTTATGATGGGAGAATGAGGAAGATTATATATGTGTGTGTGTGTGTGTGTGTGTGTATACACATATTTATGATGGAAGATTATATATATGTATATATACATATATATAATAAATATAAATGTATACATATATATATTTAATATTTAATCTTCCTCATGCTTCTATCTTCAGCCTATTACTGAGAACCAGGGGCATCCATTGGCCATCAAAGGTACTGGTGTGTTACTCATGGCTCAAAAAATAGCTTACTCCTTGGGAACATCTTTTCTAYATCACTTTATACTTCAGAGGATATTTAATGAAAGAGATTATTGTGAAATGTTTATAATGAAAACAACAAGGAATCATTGTTCTTGTTCCAGAGTCATTTGATGTGGTGACAAAATGCATGAGTTTCACATTAAATGAGCAGTTCATGGAGAAATTTGTTGATCCTGGAAATCACAATAGTGGAATTGATCTACTTCGGACCTGTGAGTACTTTGATCTCAGCAGGACAGTTGGGGAGGCAAAGAAATAATTTTATTTGTGTTTGGTTGAAATGTATTTCTGGAATATGATGTGTCAGTAGATAGTATGAACTTGGAATAAATTCTCTAACTCTATTCCAATGATGTTCTCTTTTGTTGATAATATATTTTAGAAGGTAGAAATATACTTAACAAATTTCAAATGATTAGAAGTTCAGGGAGGTAGCTAATATATTGGATGATGAAATCTGAATATTCCTAGGATGTTATAGGCCCATTTTATTAAGAGGAAATTTACCAGGGGTTAAATAATAAATTGAATTAAACACTTATACTACCTATGTTCAATAGTCATGTGAAAAAAGAGTTAACTGCAAGCTCTAAATTGATCACTGAGTATCAGGTCTGTCAAAAGTGTTCATTCAATCTTAAGGTGGTGGGGTGGTGGTAACAAAAGTGTAGATGTTAAAAAAAAAAGGTGTTCATTGTGAACTTTCTATTCCTTGATGGCCAGGCTGCCCATGAAGTACTGTCTTTAGATTTGAATTTCAGCTTTTAGAATATTAGAGACTTACTAGTGCTTTCCCCTAAGAATGACCATTTTTATGAGAGGAAACTGAATAAACTCCAGATATTCAATTTTGTAGTGAGAATGCCTAGGCAGTAGTTTATTATCAGAGTTTGAAGAGAGGTTAGTTAGAAAAAACTCCTGTGTGAAGTTTGAAAAAATTAAAACTAGTACCAGAAAGTAGAAATTGACTAATATTGATATTAATACATTTACTAATAATTAAAATTATCTGAAAATGGAATGAGATGCTTTGTGAGACCTATCACTTTTTTTTAATGTTGATAAGAAAATTTATTGTGATTAAAACTGCATTTGAGTGCCTGGTGTATTCCAGATCTACTCTATGTATTTTCTTTTCATGTGTTATGTATTTTCTTCCAATAGCTTTGAAGACAGGTCATTTATAATTTCCATTCCTTTACTTGTTAATCCTGCCTTAAATCTTATAAGGAGGCTGGGCCTGGTGGTGTATGCCTGTAATTCCAGCTATTGGCTGAGACAGGAGGATTGCAAATTTGAAGCCAGCCTGAATAACTTAGTGAGACCTGTCTCAAAATAAAAAATAGAAACAAGGGCTGAGAATGTAGTTCAATGTTAGAACACCCCTGAATTTAATCTTTGATATAGGGGGAAAAATCTTGTAAGGACTTTAATATCAGCTCTGTAGTTTTAGACTATTTTTTTTTCCTGCAAATCCTGACTTTCCTGCTTCCTGTCTCACTTTTGAGAGTTATTTATTCTGAAGTTATTTCTTCAATTATAAAATAGAAATAGTAATAGTATCTTATCTAAAGAGTTTTGGGGAGGATTAATTCACAAATCATGTGTAGAACAAACATTACATGGCATATAAACAGTTTSTTTTAGCAAAGAGGTCTCAGCATTAAAATACTTCTTCCTCACTTTTGGAGAATTAATTAGAATGTAACAGAAATTACCATTATGGGAAAATGGTCTGAAATCATGGTAACATTTCTATTCTTTCTCTCCTTTTTAAAACCAGATCTTTGGCGGTGTCAGTTCCTTTTACCTTTTGTTAGTTTAGGTTTGATGTGCTTTGGGGCTTTGATTGGACTTTGTGCTTGTATATGCCGAAGCTTGTATCCCACAATTGCCACAGGCATTCTCCATCTCCTTGCAGGTGGGTCTTATTATTATATTTAACCTTTAGCTTCTTCTGTCTCCTTAAAGACCAAAAAGTTATAATTCATAAATATTCACATATTACTGCACTGTCATGTTGCCTAAAAACTCTTTGCTGTGCTCTTACCCAGCTATGTTTTGTTTTCTAAATTTCTCCCCCCAAGGTTTGTGTACACTGGGCACAGTAAGTTGTTTCGTTGCTGGAATTAAACTACTCCACCAGAAACTAGAGCCGCCTGAGAATGTGTCTGGTGAATTTGGATGGTCATTCTGCCTGGCTTGCGTTTCTGCTCCTTTACAGTTCATGGCTTCTGCTCTGTTCATCTGGGCTGCTCACACCAACCGGAAAGAGTACACCTTAATGAAGGCATATCGCGTGGCATGAACAGGCCTGCTTTACATTTGCCGTTTTAATATTTTTGATATCTATGTTTTCCCTTGCGTCCCTCCCAAATATTTTTTATTTTTCTGTGGATATACCATTTTATCCTGAAAATCCATTTTATTTAAATACACACACATGACTAAATATACAATAAATACCACTAAAATTTATGTGGTTTACTCAGTGATTCCATTTCTCAAACTAATTTAGGTTCAAAATCTAGTCAGAAAGAAAGAGGCTTGACACAAATTTGTGACAGAAAATCTGCAATAGGAAATTGACCCAGAGCAAGTTCTGCTTATGTCTATTAAGTCTTTTCACCAAAGTACAGTAACTATCTGTTGAACCAGAAATAAATTTCTTTGGTAAACTTCTTATTGTCAGAACTTTGCTGTTGTAGATAGCCAGTCAGCTAGGCATATTATTGCTGTTTTAAAAAATTTAAGAGTTTCATAAAATTGGAAAATTATCTAAGATCCTTTTCTGTAAACTTTGGCACATAGCTTCATCTGAGGTGAAATATGGCAGCTGTCTATATTTACACCATATCTGTCTACAAGAAAAGAAGTGAAAAATACGGTGTTTACTTGAAATTAAACTTTATAATTGCAAAAGTTCCAATTCAGTGAGATAAACGGGTTAATTTTACTGTATTGTATTACTGTTTTTTAAAACTCCTTTATAGGATTTTCAGTATCACCAAACCATTTTTAATTTTTTTCTTTCTTTCTTTCACACCAGGCTTATTAAAAGAGTGCTTTCTTTTTAACATTGTTAGGATCACAGAGTAAGAAATTTCCCAACTGCTTTCTGTTTATTCCAGCTAAGTACCATAAAGAAGGTTCTACTATATAGAGCCTACAGAGCTGGGAATACTACCACAAGATCTAAAGCTGTGGTTGTCAGTTTAAACTCCAACTATGGTCTCTATTTCTTGTGGTGAAATGACGTGCCTTTCCTTGCCTAATCCCTGGTGTATATCATCATTATTTAATGTCTTCTAATTCAGTCATTTTTTTATAAATATGTCTATAAACATTGAACTTTAAAAAAAATCTTATTTATTTATTCCATTACTGTAGCATTTGACAGATTAAAAAAAAAAATGTTCCTTAGTAATTTCTTACCATATCCTAAGTCTGTCTTTTTTAAAAAATAAAAATGAGAAGAGACTCAAAAGAATTGTGTATCGAGTGAATTGATTTAAATCTCAGTACATTGGAATGGTTCTCTGTGAAAAATGCATTATTACTCTTTAGACTTGTCTTTATGTATTATGTTTGGTTTTATGTTTCAGAAAATGTGGCAGCCTCCTCCATTAGAAAATAAGTCAATCTTTGTTCAGAATCTTTGTTTTCAAACTAGTTTAGTAAACTCTACACATCATTTAATGTGACTAGTTTCCTATAAAGTTATTTATTAGTGGATGTTTGTATTCTATATTAAATAACTTCTTMCAATAAGGTCAGCATTGCTCAGTAGCAAATTGCTGTGAAATGGCTGGTTACTCAGGTTTCTGCCTATTCTTATTAGTTGACGTTTCATTGCTCTCCAGCATCTGTGGAGTGGATAGGAGAAAAACTAAATGAACAACCAAACCCTTGGGAATGGGATTTAAAAATTATTGGCAGCATGACATTTTTGTATTAGGAAGTTATTTTAAACAGTATTTCTGTCTCTTTACCCCCAGAGTTATCTGTGCCTATTCACCTAAATCAGTCTTTAATGTGCACTGTGGAAATGAAGTGAGAATTGGACTGTTAGTTAGCCTCAGTGGTAATAGTTTTGAATTTGGAAAGATAGCACCATGATCTCTGTTGCTGAATATGTGTTGTAATTAGGATTTTTAGCACATTGCAGAGTAGCTGAGGCTTTGCTGTCTTGCAAAAACTTTCATTTCTCTGTAATACATAGGACCATATTATTTCATTTAATGTAAAAAAAGTTTTTCTAATAATGTTCAACCATATGAAATTGCTGATATCCAACCATTTATACCCTTTTTTTTTTTGGACTGGGGAATTATCTTAGGAGTGTTTTTCCACTGAGTTTCATCCTCAGCCCCTTTTAATTAATTTATTTTTTATTAATTTATTTTCTTTTTGAGATAGGTTCTCATCAGGTTGCTTAGGGCCTTGCTAAGTTGCTGAGGCTGGCTTTGAACTTGTGATCTTCCTGCCTCAGGCTCCCAAGTCATTGGGATTACAGGCATGTGCCACYATGTCCTGCTGATATCCAACCATTTTGATCAATCTAATAGATAAGATTAATGGCAAAGTAAATTCTGTTAATGTTCTCCATTTAGTCTTTGGAAAAAACCAAACACTTTTTAAGACACAAGTTTTGTGGCAACTTAAGAAATGTTTTAAAGCATTAATTTTTTGGTTCCTAGTTGATTAAATGATATGGATAAATGTCTTCAAAATGCTTTTTTAGTAAAATGTACTTCAAAATTTGTTAGCCGTAAAACACCCAAAATTGATATAATAAAAAAGACTAATTCTAGAAGAGTTCATTTGTTCAGTTAATACTTAAGTCACTATATCATAATACACTAGAGTCTTAAAAATCTAATAGTATTGTGTTAAAACTTGTTCTAAGTGTTAGGTGCTGTTGTATATACATGTTGAAGGAGGGAGGATAGAATTAAGAAATGACTTACAGGTGTATTCTTTTAATCATTTGCTCACATGATTGAGAAGAATGAGTTTAAAAGTCAATTTAGAGTTTGACTTTTTTCATTCCAGAAACATCACCAAATTGCAGCCCATCACTGTTAAAACTTGCAAAGCTAGTTATGTTCACTTGACTATAAGATACTCAATAAGAGGACTTTTCAACATTTAATCCTCAGGTAAGCTTTTACCTAAACTGAAAACTTGTTGAATTAACCAAATTTGGCCAACTACATTTCTGAAGTTTCCCAGTAAATGGGTAAAAGCTCTGAAGGTGCCAGTTATTTCACAGATGAGATGCAGGTCTTACCTGGCACAGACGGGTGGAATATTTTGTCCTTTCAGGACTCTTCTCATAAGGGAATGATAACTCCAACCTTGAAAAGAAAGAAGTAAACCAAGGGAACACATCTATGTGTAGGAGTTCTTTTCTCTATTGTTCATTATGTGTTTTGACGTCATTTCAATCAGATACATTTTCCCATAGGGTCAGATTATAGATAAATGCAGTGTCCTGCAAATTCATAATGTAGAAATCATAAAATGCAAGAAAAACAACAAAAATGATTACCCCTATTGTTTAGAAGAAGTGTAAATCTTTGATAATGCCAGATATTCTGTTAGCAAAATCGATACATTATTTTACATATAAGTATTAACACATCATCAGGAAATTTGTATATGTAAGATCCAATTTATATTACTTTCTATCTATTTTTGCAGAGGCTTAAAAATGTGAAATAAGAAAGTCTGTTTTTGTGTTTTGTTTGCAGTGCTAGGGTTCAAACCCAGAGCCCTGTGCAGGCTAGGCAGGCACTCTGCCACCCAGCTATATCCCCAGCCCTTCTGTCTTTGTCTTTTAAAATAAAACATGATGCATTACTCAGTTATTCAGCTATTTTAACTCAGTGCTGGTGTTTCAGGGTGTGAACTTTACCTCACCTGTCCTGCAACTTTTTATCCCTCCCWGTCTACCAGCATTCTGTTCTAATTTGTCTTAGCTTGTCATCATATGTTTACACACATCTGTGATTCTCTTACCCCCATAATCATGGTGTCTTCCTACAAAACTCTTAGCCTTATATTCATATACTGTGTTGTTCAGTTTTCTTGCTCCTGTCTCAAAATACCAAAAGTGCCTGTTCAAAACTAAAAGCTGTTCTATAAAATTATGCTTCTTATTAATAACTGCTTGAGAAGTATAATAATCTGTTTATTATTCCCTACCTCACATTTTTCAAATCTCTTTATAAAAGTTCTTGAAATCKTAATTCTTCCTCAACTTCCAAGGGAAGAATTTATACACTACTTAAGGAAATCTTAGAATGAATTCTTCCAGTATCTCCAACCCTTGCTTGCGCCTTATAAAATAGGGAATATATTGTTACCTGATTGGAGAGATTGCTGGGATCAGGGCATCCACTGGAGCAGCAGAGTGTATAGTGGTTAAATATTAATATACCTGTCTTACAGGGTTGTGGTGGTGAAGATTGCTTAGCATAAAGTAGTCAATCAAAAACGCTAGTTATGACTGATTACATTATAAGGTGATAGGGTTACCAAGGCTATTAAATGGTCCTCTTCAGCCTAGACTGCATATTAGAATTTTCTGGACAACTTTAAAAATTAGTCATGTGTCATAGAATTTGATTTAGTTGGCTTGGGTTAGGTTTTTTGCAATTTTTTTAGCCTTTTCAAATGATTCCAGGGGGCAACTGTGTTTGAAAGGAACATTTCAAAGCACTAGGATTTTCTCTCTCTGGGCAGATTGTTAGAAAGACAGTGGAGTAAATAGACCTGGCATCGTGCCTGCCTAGGGAGCAAATGTATCTGGCATAGTGCCTGCCTTCTAGCAGCTACTTCTGTCTTGTGCTTTCTAGCACTTTTTACTGATATTGACTGGCCCTTTGAGACAGATCCTGATTCATTATACCACTGCTGCCTGGAAATGTCTATTATGGTTTGGATGTGAGTTGTCTTCTAGAGCTCAAGTGTGAGACAATGCAAGAAGATTCGGAGAAGAAGTGATTGGGTTATCACAGCCTTAACCCAATCAGTGAGTTAATCACCTGATGATATTAAGTGGTAACTAAAGGCAGGTGGGGTGTGGCTGAAGGAGGAGGGGCATTGAGGGCATGGCTTTGGGGTATGTACTTGTATCTGGCAAGTGGCTTTCTGATCATCATGTGAGCTGCTTGCAACTGCCATGCTCTTCTTGCCATGATGTTTAGCCTCACTTGAGCCCTGAGGCATGGAGTCTGGTGTCTGGATTGAGACCTCTGAAACTCTGAGCCCCCAAATAAACTGTTCCTCCTCTACAGTTCTGGTCTGGTCCTTTAGTCACAGCAGAAAAAAGCTTAATAAAACATCTATGAAGTTGGCCTAATGCAGACCTGTTATGGTTTGACTCGGGAATGAATTCCCAAAYGCTTACATCTTGAAAGCATGTTCTTAAAGCAACAAGGTTCAGAGGTGAGGCGTTTAGGTAATGAAGGCTCTAACGTCATTAGTGAATTAATCCATCAGKAGTTGAATGGACTACTGGGAGGTGGAACCCTGTTGGAGGAAGTAAGTCATTGGGGTGTGCCATGGAGGGTTTATCTTGTCTCCAGCTCCTTCTGCTCAGGTCCCTGCTATGAGCTGAGYAGCTTTCCTTTGTCCACTCTTCTGCCATGATATTTCTGCCTTGGAGTCAACTGACCATGGACTGGATCTTCTATAAAACCATTGGCCAAAATAAATATTTTCCTCTAGGTTGTTCTTTTCAGGTATTTTGATTAAGCAATGAAAAGTTGATTAACACAAGACCCAATGCACTCTAGTGACTGGTTCTAAAGTTTGCATTTGATTGAAGGTAATGATGTTCATTTTGGGTTTGCATGTAACAAA